ACACCTTGACACGCCGCTCATTGTTCAGGCACGACTTCACCCAGCCGTACACGGTCTTGGAATCAGTGACAAGACGGATGTTGCTGGCATTCCATTCGACTGCCGTCGACAACCCACGGATTACTGCTTCCAATTCTGCGATGTTGATATGCTTCTTCTCGTCGGCATCGCGAAGCCAAGACTTGTCCTCCATGACTTCACCACCAACTTCGGCAACAATGCCATATGCGACATCAGACGCATCGCACCACACGGTGAGCTGCTGCTCGTTTACTGACGCATTCCACACGCCTGTGGCCGGATCCTCATCTTGGACGCGACTTGCTAGTTCGGCACAACAGGTTACCACATCATTGGGGACGTCATCATCCCAACCACCACCATCACGACACGCTAGGCGCTTCAGAAAGCTGCAGGCAGGTCGCAGCCACGAGCACACGGGATAGTGCGATACCAGTCGGCCGCACCACGAGAATACACCACGCTTGGTCAGCTTGCCACACTCGAGACTCACTCCGTCTCGGCGCTTCCAACGGGTTTGACCATCTTGGCCCGTAAACAGCTGAAGTCCAAGTACTCGGGCGGAATTGGCGGGCTCAGCTGGCTTCGTGCGCAGGCCATAGCGCTCGAGGGTATCCGCAACAGCCTTTGTCTGCGGTTTCGGGACGTACAGATCGTCAACGTAATTGTCAACACCATCGTGATCGCGCGTGCACCACTTGACTATGACGTCCATGAACTTCGGTGCAACACTTAACCCGAAAGCCATGCGGGTCATCACGTACAGCTTTCCCTTCCATTTCACGCACTGATACCGTAGCAACTCAGGTGACATACGGACTTGCAGATAGGCCTTTCGAATATCCAACATCTCATACTCGTTGGCATCGTGCGTACGCCACTCACGCAACTTCTCGCCACACACGGAGGCATCCATACCGGGCTGAGACACGAGGGCACGGTTCAGCGCACGGTAGTCGAGGCAAGGCCTAACAGGTGTAGTAGGCTTGTGCTCCTGGCTGACTGCAAGCCATGGCAGAATTGCAGCAGGAGCTCCGTGTACCTCTTCATCATGCTCGATGAGCCATCCGTTACCGATCCAGGAGTCCACTTCTTGCTGGAACAGCTTCTCCTGATCATCGCTAAGTTTCCGGGGGTACTCCCCAATGCCGCTGCCGATGCGTCCGGTAGGTGGCTTGTCGTCCTTCCACCTCCATGCTGCCTGCCAACACTGCTCAGCTGCTAGCCACTTTATCTGACCATCCTCGACAGATAGCGTCACGTCCTCACCGTCTTGCACCACGCTAACATGCCGAGACGGGTGCTGATCCGGCGACTGCAGAGCATCACTAACGACAGACGACACAGGCTCAGGGTCACTGGCGGTTGACGAACCAAACAACACGGACCGCAGATCACCTGACTCAGAGTACTGCAACCTGACGCCACCGATGGCACGGACAAGGTCAGATCCCAGCAACAGGTCAGCATTAATAACCGACAGCTCAGGAACTACAAACGCAACAACACGGGTAGGCGGCAAATTTACGGGTCCATCCAGGCGACGAATCGTTAGTGAAATTGACCCCGAAATCGGCAGGGCTTCGCCATCCAGGGCGAGGAGCTTCTCCTGCTTTACCGCCGACACTTGGCTGCACATCTTAGCCGCACGTATAAAGCCAGACGACACTAGCGTGCGAGCCGACCCGGTGTCCAGCATGGCCTCTCCACGGCACCAGTCATCCGGCTTGGCCGACTCCACGTCCACATAGATCCTCGGCAAGGGGGCAGCTTCAGTGGACACCGCACACAGGCACTTGTCACTGCTACTATGCGACGTACCAGCAGCCGCCACACGTTCTGCTGCCTTGGCTTCTCGCCACTTCCTTCTCTCAGGGCACGCTGGCTTTGCATGACCAGGCTGATCACAAAAGTGGCACACTACTGGTCCACTGAAACGGGGCTTCTGCTTCTTCTTGAACTCTGGGCAGTTACGCTGGACATGCCCAGGCTGGTTACAGTTATAGCAGACAACAGTACTGCGAGCTGGTCGGTGTACACCTCCACTGTAACTACTGGTACTGGCACTAGCAGAAACGCTCTGGCTGAACCTGCTCGTGTACCGAGCATCGGTCTCACTGGCTCTGAGCGCACGCACACGCTCTAGACACGCAGGTATCGTCAGCTCTTGGCCAGCCAGTGACATTCTCAGCTGGCGGCCAAATTCGGGCTGTAGGCCAGCGATCAGTTGCTCGATCACGATCGGATCCTTGCTGGCGGTACCACCCGGTTTGTGCCCCGACAGCGCTGCATAACGCTGCAAATCGGCCACATACGCGTCGACACTTTCATCCACACGCAAACAACGGCGCTTGAACAAATCATACGCTCTGGACGGCGTCACACTGAACGCACTCACTAAAACTTTCTTGACCTCTGCTTGTTTGCTTTTGTCACTCTCTGCCATACGAGAAAACACTCGAAATGCATCGCCCTGCAAATATAAAGGCAGATGTTGCATGCGTGCATCTTCGTCGGACCATTCCTTGGCAGTGGCCAAAACTAAAAACTTTGCCCAGAATTCCTCTAGGTCTTCACCATCCTTGCCAGAAAACGGCTGGACAAGATACTTGGTAGACATGATTCACTCGAGTATTCCACGAACACACAGTAGGAACACACAGTAGGAACTCACAGTAGGAACTCACAGTAAGAACTCTCGTCTCACAAAATAAATAAATCACTACGACACTCGTACTCCGAAAACACTTTCCCGACTCTTTCCCGGCTCTTTCCCGGGTTTCGGCACCACAAAGTTGTGGGAGAACTGGAGCTATCTAGTCTCTCTATCACCCCTCTTCACCCAACACAACACACCAGCGCAAACGGCAGCCTCTTGGTGGAAATGTATGAATCACGAAAAATGCAAGTTGGAAAAGGAGAGAGAACAAGAAAAGAACAACAAGAAACCAAAATCACGAGCACTTCGGCCAGGAAAAGACACGTCTAAAACATGGCGTCCAACATGGCGACAGAGCAACCGATAGAGGCCCGTCGTGGCTGAAGCTGCTATTGCAGCGACAGCCATCACGGCCACCATTGAATGCAGAAAATAGATCAGAAAACGAAGTCGAGCAACAGCAACTCGAACGAAGCAAAGAAAACAACAAGACTACGCGCAGCAAGCAAAGGCATAGCGATGACATCATTAGTCACGCGTGAACACAGAATCTAGCATGCGCATGCAGCCTTGCAGGCGCTGGCGAAATAAATAATGAAGTCAAGACACAAATAAATAACACAACGATCGACGAGCGATCGTTGCAGGAAAACAATTACAATTCAAATATACTACTTCAAGGAAAGATGAGAAGTGAAACGACTAGCACTAGAAGAAATAGAATAGAATATTATAGAACAAGGACAATGGAAGCGGACTACGGATGAAGCTACAATGAGGTAAGAGGCATGACACACTGATGACAGATGTCACCACAACAAATACATAATCGTAATGTTTGTCTACACACACATTGTATCGTCACACTACACACATTGTCATATTGTCACAGTGTGTAATAATGCTCCATGTTGCGTTTTGACGATGCTGAAGGAAGGGAGCCATTGCGATTCACTCACAACACACGCACAGAAGTCCACTCGACTGCAATTTCAGTGCAATTCCTGACACAAATTCATAAATCCACGAGTACGAGGAAGCTCAGCGGATCTCCACAAGAACTTTCGCCCATCACCTACAATGGAATATGGGCTGTATGATACGACCAGCGGCTAACACGGGAAGTGGCGTCATTTTCCACAAATTTCGTTTCATTCACAACCATTTGACTGCAATTCAGTGCAATTTCTGCCACAAATTCAACTCCACCAGTACGAGGAAGCTCAGCGGATCTCAACACGAACGTTCGCCCATCACCTGCAATGGAATATGGGCTGTATGATACGACCAGCGGCTAACACGGGAAGTGGCGTCATTTTCCACAAATCTCGTTTCATTCACAACCATTTGACTGCAATTCAGTGCAATTTCTGCCACAAATTCAACTCCACGAGTACGAGGAAGCTCAGCGGATCTCAACACGAACGTTCGCCCATCACCTGCAATGGAATATGGGCTGTATGATACGACCAGCGGCTAACACGGGAAGTGGCGTCATTTTCCACAAATCTCGTTTCATTCACAACCATTTGACTGCAATTCAGTGCAATTTCTGCCACAAATTCAACTCCACCAGTACGAGGAAGCTCAGCGGATCTCAACACGAACGTTCGCCCATCACCTGCAATGGAATATGGGCTGTATGATACGACCAGCGGCTAACACGGGAAGTGGCGTCATTTTCCACAAATCTCGTTTCATTCACAACCATTTGACTGCAATTCAGTGCAATTTCTGCCACAAATTCAACTCCACGAGTACGAGGAAGCTCAGCGGATCTCAACACGAACGTTCGCCCATCACCTGCAATGGAATATGGGCTGTATGATACGATCAGCGGCTAACACGGGAAGTGGCGTCATTTTCCACAAATCTCATTTCGTTCACCCCAACTCAAATAAAATTGAAGTACAATTAGGGATTTATCTTGCATTTCCAGCGCCTCAGAATAAATTAACTTCGATAAACTGAGAGAGAATGAGTGAGGCAGCTGGAAGAATTGAGGATGAAAATAGAGATCAGAAGACTCGACGGAGCAATCGTCTCCGTGCTCTAAGAGAAATCGGAGAATGTCCCAATTAGTATTTCAAGAAGACATCACAATTTTCGAAAATAATAATTATTTCCTTGCCTCGCAGCACCCTTCCCTGGCAGCGTTCCCCGGCAGCGCGAGGCAAAGATGTTTTCTGGGAATGTGTGCCGTGTCCTCTCGAGATCTCCCGGGCTTTTACGACTCCCTGCTCGAGTGCAGCTGTTGCATATTTTTACGCCACTTCGAAGAATTTTTTCCAAGATCATTTGTTTTTGGCAGTAAAGAAACACGTGACTTGTCGCAAATGAATTCGAATTCAATTCATTTGTCACCTACTACAACAGTCCTCACTCTTCACTCACTTCAATGTTTCCTTCTCACTTTCCTTGTCGTCGCTTGCCATACTTTCGATAGACTAGATTGTACTTGCTTTCACCCGAGACATTCATCGAGTAAGGTGTAAGGAATTGCAGAGACATTTGCACAGCACCATTTCCCATTTCCCGTTCAAATTTCTGAAGTCTTGCAGAGTCGTACCTGAGGGAAATGTATTGCTAGTGGCTTTGCGATGGAAGGCAACTTGCAGCGGTGGACTGGCTATCTGAGAGGCTATCAGTGGAGGGTATTTGTGCTGAAGAATGGATGCCTTCGCTATTACAGGTACGACTGCGGTGCTGAATGTTTGTCACGTTTTCTCAGCCATTTATATTCTAACAGTCTCAGTGAGCACTTGTCCTGCTGTGACGGAACACTTCAATTAGCTTTGGAATTGTTCGTGAAGTCTCAGTTCCCTTTCAATCATTCTCTTCTACTGTGGACAGGTGGTCTGCGCATTTGGAAATGATAAATAATTATTGTAATTATTTGAATTCAGGAAATGATTCAAATGAATAATTCATGTGTTTCACCTTCAGCTAGTACAGTGGTCCCTCTATAATCCGGCACCATTTGTGCCACGAAAATCTGCTGGATAAGGGAGGGTGCTGGATTAACAAATCTGATTTACTGCTGCAATGTACATGAAGAGGACATTTTGGCTACTGAAAATTGTGCTGGTTTATCGAGGGTGCTGGATTATAAAGTGCCGGATTAGAGAGGGACGACTGTAATATTATAGAGGACCTCATATCAGGCCAATGTAATGGGATCGCAGGGTATTTGCCAAACATTGATTTATATCGAGAATAAAGAAATAAGAGTACTACGTGAAGTTTTAACAGTAGATCCTCGCCCGTCCGCCTCTTTAGATAGGGTCCTCGAAATCATGCGTGGATGAGATACTTCACTACAGTCCATTTCAAAACTATAGACGCGTGAACTCATACGTACGAGTCGTACGTACTGTAGCGCACGACAGCCGTGAGACATGTAAAGCCGGAAAACCTGGCCTAAAATAAACTTCAATTGTAGCGAAAACAAAGTATATAGCCAGAATTGTGAAGCGATGCAGAGACGGAATCTAGAGAAAAAACTATTTTTTTTTTTTTAAATCCCATCGAATTTTGCAAAACACTACGCGTCTATAGTTTTGAAATGGACTGTACATGCGTATTAAATAATAGCCAGCAGCAGAGGAGTTTACAGCAGACTGACATTACCATACTCAACGCAGGGAACACACCGGATTTTCTCATTTCCTACAGACCACGTCCTGTTGATGAACGAATTACGGATATACGTATAATAGATATGAAGTCTTGGATTACAGGATAGGTGAAGCACAGACAAGCGGGCGCGGACTATGCTTTCCTGTGTGTAAGGGTCTTCACTGTTTCGTCATAATTATACAATGCTGTTTGTTCCATGTCTAACAATTACATCTACCTTGGCAGAAATGTACATTCTCATTCTCTTTCTCTCCCTTTCATTCTCATTCTCATTCTTTCTCCCTCTCTCTCTCTCTCTCTCTCTCTCTCTCTCTCTCTCTCTCTCTCTCTCTCATGCAAAAAGGTCCACTGACGACAGCAGGAAGTCGGCCAACTGCCGAGGTACCCTTCAAATAAAGTACTGCCGAATCGACAAACTGGCTCGGTTCGACTTTCTCATATCCTCACCAGGCTCGCCTCCCATGTACCTGCGTGCAATGGATGAAGTAGACCGCCAGAAATGGATCAATGCTATGGAACAGGCCAGCAGAGGACCGTCACACTCATCAGATGGTGAGTGCGAGTAACATGCTGTTCACTTGACATTGTACTATGTCTTCCTTATCATGTGGTCATCATCATCGCGTGATGTCATCATGTGATGTATTCATTTCATCTCACCCGTATATTGAAGCCACCCCATGGGAACTAGGAGGGAAGTAGCCAGCCAATAAACTGTCTGTTGAGCTTGACTACCAAAATTTAGCTGGTGCACAGCTCCATCCAGATCTGAAGATGGACAGCTCATCCGGTCCGAATTTCGGCCATAAATGATGAAACCTATTGAAAAGCTAAGTTTATACTCTCTATGTCTTGTACTTCTTTTTGATACTTCTTTTTGAATTATACATGCTCATGGATGTTGACTAGTGAATGCGGTAGACTAGTTCCTCCAGTATGTGTCCTCCGATGAGCTGGACCTATTCTTATCTCAAAAAGCATAATCCATGCACTGTTTTGTTTCTTGTTGTTGTTGTTTTATCTTGTTTGTGCTCAGACTATGTAGTGCTGAGTAATGAAGATGGTGTTGAGGAAAGCAATAGTCAGCTGGCTGATAACGACGAAGGCGGTACGTGACGATGAAATCATAAAATTTGATGTAAAAATGCTGTGAGGCCAGTGGCCAATACGCGTTGTTTTTTAGTTGTTTTATTCCACTCTGTGTGTGTGTCGGTGTGGGTGTGGGTGGGTGTATGTGTGTGTGTGTGTGTGCGTGTGTGTGTTTTGTGTCCTGTGTGAAGATGAGGCAGTGGTGAACCTACAGCGAAGTCTGAACTTTCAGCTAGGCGAAGTGCAGTCTTGTCATACGGACTTGGGACAGCTAGTTCACAGTCTGCAGCGGGAACTCTCGTCTCTGGAGACTAGCCAGGTGGCTGTCGCCAAGCAGCTCAAGCCACTGTTTGAAAAGATGATGCTGGTCAAGATCTCAGCAGATACGTTGCTCAAGGTTAGTGTTTGGCCAGTGGGATTGACTTTGGACTGTGGTACTGACCTCCACCCGTGGTGCGTTTGCAGTGGCGCGCACCCCGTCCATTCATGCCTGCTCTATCCTCTTTGAAGTCAGCTGTACCTTGTGAATGTGCTGGTCATAGTGTGCTGTGTGTGTGTTGGTGTGTTTGTGGTGCTCAGCGAAGCAATGACTTTGTTGGCCTCTCGGACAGTCAGACTCAGTCCTGGATTTCGGTAGTGCAGCGTGAGCGGCAGCGTCGTCGGCGCCTAGAGGAGGCCGTCGAGACCATAGCGCGCCAGCACAACGTCCTGGAGGCGTCCGTGATCAGCAAGTCTGCCGCCGTCAGCACAGACACTGCGGAGCACGACGAAACGGACGGTGGCTTGTCGACCTTCTCGCTGCACGCCACTCTGGACGGGTCCGGTGCACATCGTCCCAACACCAGCAACTCGTCGGATGATGACCAAAGCGAAGATATCTTTGTGGACTGCGTGGATAACATTAGCACTGGCAACTCGCGGGATGGCAGTGTCAGTGCTACTAACTTCTCGTCTGCGGATGCTTCAACAAATTTAGAAGCGGAAGAAGATACTCCACAAGACTGGCCCCTTGTGGTACGTTCAAAGTGATCGTGAATTTGGGTGTCCTTATGTACGGTAGATTTCTCATCTCCCGGCTTCTTTGCGAATACTTTCTTTTGCCGAATTTTTGATTTTCAGCTTGCTATTGTACGTTCGTCTGTCTCTTTTTTTAGAGGTCAGCCCGGAGTTCATCTTGTAGACAGCATAGATGCACGGTGCTGGATCGTCCCGATATTCCAGTCAACCTCTGGAGTATACTGAAGAACTGCATCGGCCAGGATTTGTCCCGGATTGCTATGCCAGTGAGTTTAGATTGAACGAGGTGCTGTTGGTTCTGCTGGCACTAGCGCTGCTGCTGCTGCTGCTGCTACTTCTGGGAAGGGCAGCAGTGCTTGATCTTGGACCATTACTGCAGCCTGTACTCAACAAAGTGCAATTCTACAAGTAATCATATTTTTAGCCGCATGCCACAACTTGTGTGAGTCAGGTGCTGGTTCGCGATCACATCCGGCTAACCTTAAGACGAGTGAAATTCGTCCAGGCTTTGGAATTATGTTATTCTTGAGGTGTTGTTATTTACACTATGCCTTTACGCTATCAAGGGAAAGACATGCACGATTTATACTGATTTGAAGACTGAAGTGATCCAAGTTTGGGACCTAGCCTTCACACAGCATTAAGATGTGTCCCAGGTACCGTGTCTTCTCTGCTGATGATCGCAGGGGGCTAGTGTTGTGAATATTCTTTACGCGTAACCTTTTGCTGCTTTGTGGCGGGTTCTGTACATGTACTTGCCTTGATGTTCTTTGCAATGTAGGTAATGATCAATGAGCCACTGTCTTTCCTGCAACGACTGTGCGAGGTCAACATGGAGTATAGTGATCTACTGGATCAAGCTGCTAAGGTCACCAGCTCCACTGAGCAAATGGCGCTGATCTGTGCATTTGCTGTGGCATCGTACAGCAGCACCAGCTATCGAACCAAAAAGCCCTTCAACCCTTTGCTTGGTGAGACTTACGAGCTGGACCGCACGGCTGACCTGGGCTGGAGATGTGTTTGTGAGCAGGTAAGGGGTTGCTCCTGTGCGTGTATCTGTGTCGACTTGTACCCCCACTGCATGGCAATGTGATGTGCCAATGGCGTCCCTGGTGCCTGGCACCACTACTGCACAGTGGTGCGAATGATGAATGTGTTAGTGGTGCTCCTGTATCCATGTGTCCTTGCAGTGCTAGTGCACTACAGTACTGTTCGTCGCCCAAGAACTGGGGGGTCAGCCTCGTAGCCTAGAAACATCTAGTCGGGTTTGTGAAAACTTCCTGTAAAATGTTTACATGGTGGACATGTAGTATTGTCCTGTATATCGTGACTCGTGGAACTTGGTGTTGCAAAAGTCTGCAAACTCATCTGCGTACGTCTCTATTTCTCTGTCGAATTGACTCTGGTGGAGGTGGGGGGGGGGGGGGGGGGGGGGGTTAGCGATAGGTTGCAATCTTTCTCTTTGGCCTCATGGTCTCAACTTCTTTGCTGTCCGGTTGGTCATTACAGCCGTCTTGATAGGACCGACGTTGAACCCTAAATGTCAACGTGGCCATCATAGCTTACCCATGACCCATGGCCATTATCTCTTCCCCCCCCCCCCCCCCCCCCCCTCTCTCTCTCTCTCTCTCTCCGGTTCCTAGGTCAGTCATCATCCACCAGAGAGTGCCATGCATGTGGAAAGCGAAGAGTGGCAGTTCTGGGAAGACTACACGATGTCGTCCAAGTTCCGTGGCAAATACGCGCAGATTCTACCTCATGGCTCAGCTCATCTTCTTTTCCGCCGTACCGGTCATCATTATACGTGGAACAAACCAATCACCACAGTTCACAATGTCATTGTTGGAAAGCTCTGGATTGATTCTGTAAGCTGTGCAGAATACGCCAGTGTGTGTTTCCGTGTGCCATCTGTCTGTCTGTTCGGGCAATTTTTTTCGTTGGAACCTGTGACTGATGAGATGTTTTAGCAGAGCTCTGAGCCATTTCGTAAATCAGAAACTTCGCCAGCACTACATTCCGCTCTTGACCAGTACCCCTTGCATGCGCACCGATCATTATAGCGAGGACACATCCGATGACAATAATTAGTGACTAGTTACGACCCTCCAGACAGCTGGTTTACTTTTGTAGACGTTATCATTGGCGGTTGGGCAGGTTTTGAATGAGTGAAACGAGGCCACAAATGCTGTACTGTAGGCTGGAATTGGCATACCTGGGCGCGTCTTGCATGAAACGGAGGGTTGTAATAATCAGTATCGTCATCCCAAGTGTCCTCGTCGTGGTGGCTGGTGTGTATGCAAGATATGTCGGTCGAAAGCGCGCTGTCGTGGTGGTACAGTTCCTGTCATTGCTGCCAAGCGGTGTGCGGCCTTTATAAAAGGTTTGTTTGCATGTGTGCAACGTCCTATTTATCATCAAGATCGTGAGTGTGTTGAGTATGTATGTATAGTGTGTGCCTTGCATGACGTGTGTTGTTGTGGTGTCGATGTTGGTATTTGCTTCATGCAGTCTGGTGACATGGCAGTTGTCAATCACACCACACAAGATATGTGTACGATGATGTTCCACGAGTTCAGCTACTTCTCCAAGTCACCGCCGCGACGAGTAAGTCACATGCTCCATTACAGTCACGCTGTGCTGCACAAATGTCTAGCTGTGGCTTATGGGTGCGTGCACGTATGTGTGCGTGTGTGTGCATGTGTGTTCATCTGGTGGGGGGGGGGGGGGGGGGGGTCAGGAATGAGCAAAACTTAGTACAGTAGGGGTTTTTGCTTCCTTTGTTTACTCATTGTTCAGGTGACAGGAACAGTGTACGACCGTACAAAGCTTCCTTGCTACAGTGTCACAGGCACCTGGGACGGCAGTATCAGCTCTAGCAAAGTGCTGGAAAGCAAGATTGAGAAGAAGTTACACGTAGCGACTCGTTGCGAAGCGCCGGTGGAAATCTGGCGGGCACGTAACATACCGTAAGTTGTCAACCGTGCGTGTAAGTTATTGTGCTGGTGACGTTCTCCTTACAGCAACCTGACACGAGAAAGACTCTACACTCATACCTCGTTTATCCAGGCAGTCCGGGACCGGGCGCTAGGTTTAAAAAAATGTGCACAGCTCACTAGTATTATGTACACATTGTGACTGGCCCAAGTCAGGAAAATGGCGTTTCGCATCATCGCTTGACAGAAAAAATGAACGAGTGGTGATATACCAACTGGAGCTCGCCCAAAGGGTACCTAGTGGACCAGAGTGCCCTTCATTTTGGTGTCCGGATAACTGAGAGATATCAGTGTATTTGTGTTAGGTGGCGTGGTCTTATTGCACCATTGTCTCCATATTAGAACTCTATCAGTACTGTCAGTGAATTACCAAGCATCAATCAGTTGACTACTGTCATGTTTCTATGTGTATGAGTATACACAAGTAACTGTGTTCCTAGCAGCTTTAAAGGGGAAGTCCGGTGAAAAATTTAAATTTCACAGTCCGTAGAGTTCGGGTCGCTGAGTCGAATGGTCTTTGTCCGAGGAGGCTGCGGCCTATGGTTCGTCAGATACGCCCAATCGAACATGTGCGAATTTGAGTTCGCATCACCCAGATCCAGGTGATGACGTCACAGCGTGCAGCCAGGTAGCCACACCATCTAGTTGTGTCAAAATGGCCGTATTCGGAGCGCGTTCGATTGGGGAACCGTTTGTCGCAGCTTCTTCGGACCAAGACCATTCGATTCAGTGTTACAAACACTATGTACCATGTGATTTTCAGCTCGGTAAACCTCGAGGTTATACCGTATTTTAGCCATTTCCAAGTTGGACTTTTTCCGTCGGCATGCCTCTACGTGTATACCATGTATACGGCTCTAGCAATACGCTGCGTGCATGCTAGCTGTAGTACAAACTCATCACACACGGAACTACTCCCGTACTGCCGTGCTGGAGTAGTAGCTACAACAAGACTCGAGTCACAACTGACACAAGACTCAGAAAACTAGTCAACACACGAACTACTTGTCATTGTACTACACTCGTATCAGTCGTATGTACAGTCATGTAGTCAGAGAACGTGCGTTTCTCCTTTACTTGCCGGTACGCGGTGCCGGTGGTTGTGCTTTGAGAAAGAAAATTTTAGTTTTCCGCTCCCGCCTCATTATTTTATGCTACAGCGATGAGTGCACAACGGTGACAAGTGACAAAACAGCGAACAGCTCCCGGACCTAGAACTTTCAGATTCCGTAGCGTTGCGAGCGAAGAGTCGTGCCCCGCCCGTGGTTCAAAGAGCCTGCACTGTTCTCCAATTGAGTAGTCCGAAATATGCCAAGTTCGCACCAAAACATCACCATGCGGGAGGCTACTGGAGTCTAAGCGAATCGGTATGGGACAACATTTAGAGCACTCGCATCACTCTTCTCCATTTTGGCGACTCTGCTCTCCAGCGATCTGATAATTATATCAGCCTCGTCTGCAATAGCTGCTGCTTCTTCATCAGTCGGATACTCAGCAGCGCTCACTCTTGACCGGCCCGCGCGGCCATTTCTTCAGCTGAATACCGAGGTTCTCAGCCCCAGACCGAACTCATGAAGGTCAGCCATTGCTGCGTCCTCACTCTCACAAGGAGTTAGGTCTTCGGGGTCGCTTGCACCACCTAATATCGGTCGCTAAATCATTCGAAATAGCACTGACACTATTGCTTTCACGCACTCCTTTTGACCTAGCTGCATGCTATGACGTTGCGGAGGGTGTGGCGCGGCCGCATGACGTCATGGCGCAGCCCCCGAAACTCAGTTTTTCAAACGGAAATATCTCGAGAACGCTTTGTCGGAGACACGTGGGACCAACACCATTCGACTCAGCGCCCGAAACTCTACCGACCCTGAAATTTAAATTTTTCACTGGACTTCCCCTTTAACTTTTGTTTCCCAGGGCATGTCGATCATTTCTATTGTTGATAAATGTCCTTGCTGCATGTGTGTGTATATAGTATGTGTGTATGTGTGTGCGCGTGTGTGTGTCTGTGTGTGTGTGTGTGCGTGCATGCGCGTGTGTGTGTGCGTGTGTGTGCCTGGGTATGTGTTTGTGTGTGCCTGTTTGTGTGTGTGCTTGCATGTGCCTGTGTGCTCCTCAGTGAGGGCCATAGCGCTAAGTACTGCTTCAGTGAGTTCACCTGCTGTCTGAATGAAGAAGATGACAGTGTGGCACCCACTGACAGTCGGCGTCGACCTGATCAGCGTGTGATGGAGACCGGCAACTTTGACAAGGCTAACGAGTACAAGGTGTTGCTTGAGGAGAAGCAGGTAAGCAGGGCCTGGTGGTGGTGGGGGGTGACGAGTGTGTGTTGTTTGTGTGTTGTGGTGGGGGGGGGGGGGTGATGAGTGGGTGTGATTGGAGTGGATGAGAGCCGCCTCGCCTGCATGCCAAGAAACGTCCGGTGTCCATAGTCACTTTACTCTGAACTGTAAATAGCAAGGCAGATGTGTATGGCATGTACATGTACTACTGATGGTGCTGTCATCTGTCAAATCCTCCCATCATCACGGATTGGTGCTGCATTCTAGTGAAGCAGTCTAAAAGGTGTATTCCAACACGACTATACCGTACGTGTTTGTTTCTCTAGCGCCAGCGTCGCCGGGATCGCGAGGCGAAAGTAGCGGAGGTGGAATCCCGGGGTGCCGACTCGTCCGTCGCCCGTCACAGGCCCCGCTTCTTCCGTGTGGAGAAGGACGAGATCACCAGCCTGATGACGCACCGCTACGTCGGCGGTTACTGGGAGGCGAAACAGGAGCAGGACTGGGGCGAATGTCTTGATCTGTACTCTCTGAATTGATCTGCTCTGCGCGGTAAGCACTGGCCACAATGGCAGCCAGTCCAAGCCTTGTAAGTTGTAGCATCAACTAGTCTGTCTAGGTAGTGGTTAAAGGTAATTACTAGCTTGTTATTACTGGTTAGGGTGGTACCTGCCAAGAGGCAAACTGGATGCTGATTGTTCTTGAAGATCAGAGATCAGCATGATACCAACATGAGACATCGTTGATTTCGTTCTTGCTACTTAGTCATGCAGTAGTTGATGAGATTGTCCTGTTTTTGTACCGCTACTTCTGCCCCCCGTGCTGCTTTAGCTTTGCTGAACCGTCTTTTAATTAACGCAGCTCCTGCTCCATGCAGATTTTTTTATCGTAGCTCTAGCTGTATAAAATAATTTTACCGAAGCTCCCGCTGTATAAAATAGTTTTACCGAAGCTCCCGCTCTATAAAAATGCCATGCTGGACAATGTGCAGTGGGTGTAGATGTATGTCAGGGCATAGTCTTTTCTACTCGCTGAGATGTTTTACTGACCCTCTTCTGGCTACTTTTTCTTTTCAAATTGCTGTGCAGGCATGGCTTCTTTGTTTTATTCTCGGTGTTTTTACTTGACCATAATCTACCCTTTGTCTTGCAGCTTCTTTTTTTAAAGTTGAAGTGCCATGTTACGTGCAATGTTCATAAACAATGACATGTACATTGTGGACGTCTGATATGAGCGGAAGAAAGTACTTTAAAAATCGTCAAGGTACGTCTCATCCAAAGCTGGGTCCCGCTTTTCCAATCGCGTAGACTGCGTGAACTTGTTAGTTGCAAACATGTCCTAGCAGCAGTAAACTGGAGTAATCATATACAGTGCATGTATGATGTATGATGATTATAATTATTGGAGAGCTGCAAATATTTTACCATATAAATAGCTTAAAAGTGGTGTAGCTATTTGTAATAGTAGACTTTCATCATCAAAGATGAGAAAAAGAATGACGGCGACGGGTGAATGCACTTTATAACCCGTGTCATGTGTCTAGGCTGTATATGTATTATGTGCTCACAAAATTATTGTCAGACAAAAAGGGGCAATTCCTAGCAGCTAGTATTGAGTTCAATGCCCTGGTGAATTTTACGAACTATCAAATTGCTCACGCTATTATTAAACCTACATACTGTATCTATCTCATTATTTGCAAATATTATAGCGTATCTCAAGTGATGCCCAGCCGTGCATGGGAAAGTAGTTCATTGCAGTCACCAGCCCGGGACATGGAAGTTAGTTTTGACAACAACACACTGGTCCTTCTCACTCTTAGCTGATAGCAGTGCTCGCTGCTTGCCCTTCTGGAGTGCTACAGGCAAGCTGCGAGGATAGTCACGGCGGCAAACGCCAGAAGAGTGCGGCTCGATGCAAGTGCCGACCCGGAGCTGCACGGCGCTTTGCCTGGTGTACACTGGAGAGATTGGTCTGCAGGTGCAGGTGCAGGTAAAGCAAGAACACAGAAATTTATAAGAGCAAACCTGAAGTGTGATGATAAGTAAATGTTATTCAATATAGCTACAAGGAAGACTACAGTCAAACTTCGCTAATAACGACTGCGGGTATAACGACAATTCGCGAATAACGACAGAATTTTCATGCCCAGAGCAAAGTGTAATACATATAATGAGACTTCGGGTATAACGACACTTCGCGAATAAGGACACCTTTTTGATGCCCCGCCGAGTGTCGTTATAAGCGAAGTTGACTGTAATTGTACTGTAAGCATTTCCTATATGTCGACATGTGTGTGTAAAATGTTATACGCTGATCGCACGGCACACAACGAAAGGTCCTCCTTGCAGCTATATTAAAACTGCTGTGTCCGAAACGCTTGTTTAGATGTTATTCATTTCCTTATTCCTGGGTGGTGCCCGGCACAAGGTTTGGAATGTATACTGTGGAATAACCCTTCGAAAATAATTCAAGAAAGTAAGCAGCAGCATTCGGCCCTTGAAAATGCTGCGTATCTCCTGTTTCAAGAGTCGGTATAAAACAGGCGATTTTTTCTTTTCCAGTCATTCAACAACTCAGCCTTCTCTGATGAGGTCTTAATGAACGAAATAGCTGTCAGCAGGAATTAAAAACAGTTCCAGTACTCCGAAGGAACCTCTGTTGCAGTGTGGTGGGGAATGCACGTGGTCGGCCGCAGAGCGCAACGGTGGTGGTGGTGTAGTGGACGCAGAAAATAATTCAAGACTGAATAATAAAAACTTCACTGTTCAAGTTCGAAGTCACCTAGCTATTTCTGCAAGAGTTGGCCATTGCTGCTTTATAATTGTAGTGCATGCCCTCAGATGTGGGCAGCACCAGTATTTCTATTCAATATGACGTCGACTAAGAACGAGCTCATTCGTACATGCATGCATACTCAGCTGCCCTACGCACACATACATGTGCGCACTGAGGCAATAGCCTCGTTATGAATCTCACCTGAGCCAGTATCATCCGGTGCAGTGTCTGTGACTAGCTGTGCATCGAATGAGCGCCTCAACTGTCTCCCTTCCGGCCCGACAACGCACCTGTACTCCCCCACATCTGCTGAGTCAAAGCTCTCAATGATCAGTTGGCTGTCAGTGGATTTGAGCCGCACTTGGTCGGTGCCGAGCTGCTTCTTGTTAGCTGGAGAGGAGAAGTACCAGGTTGCGGGCATGTTTGGATGGTCTTTCACAGCGCACGAGAAGTGCGCTGCTGAGCCTTGCTTGACCATGCGCCGACTCTCGTGTACGCTCTCCAGAAAGGCAAGTGCTGGTGCTGTGTTCAGCATCACGGGAGAAGACATGAACAAAAAAACAATAGAAATCAGTATGCGATTTTAGTTACATGATTTTCTTTGGGCAGTGCTATTAGGCTTCAATCGCTGTCCAAAGTCACTAGCTGCTGTTCTACCGCAACAGTAGAACCTGATTATGACTACGAGTTAGGTACAAATGGAATCTGCTTTGTGCTACTATGTCCTTTATGATTCCCATACAGACTACCATGTGTTTATCTGCAGCCCTTTGACATGGAGGATTTGTGTGAGCATGCTGTGTATCGTGTACACCATGTCCCTGCATACTGTATTCAGTGCTGACAGCCTCGGTAATGCTATGATAAAGTGCCCCACTGCCGGTACCTATGTGTGGCCCTAAGTGCACACCACGCACATGTAGATGCATAGACATAATATTATGTAGATGCATAGACACCGTATGGATAAGTGGGAGTCACGGCTGAGGAAGTCTGAAGCAAGAACGAGCTAATGTTTGGTGGTCTGGTTCATAGAAATTGGGGGGGGGGGGCTGGGCATGGTATGTTCCCAGGCAGTGTGTACCATTGTGTACTTGTGGTCCATAGGCCAGCAGCATTGGTGGGAGGGTACAGAAATCGAGCTCCCAAGAAGGTCAGGTACAAGCGGCATACAACACTGTAAGACAATTCTCTTGTCAACCACCAACATACCTGATACAGTCAGCATAGTTTTCCCTTTGGCCTGTCCATGTGTGTTGTGAGCCGTGCATTCGTATTCGCCACCATCCTTGGCCTCCACACGGGTCAAGTTGAGAATCTTGGAGGCGATGCGCGTGCCACTGGCCAGATGGGTCCAGAAGACCTTGGGTCTGGGATAGCCACCCGCCTTGCACTGCAGGAGCGCTGCCTCTCCGCTATTGACCTCACGGTGGCGTGTCAGCTGAGAGATGACTGGCTCAACTACACGCAGAGAACATACATGAACAGGACAGAGTTTATAGATGGACATTTTCTGGGTGTGTCCCATGCTAGCACTGGCATTGTGTCGGGAATATTTTCTTTCTGGCGAACGGTTTCCTTTCTGAGTCAGGGATTACATTATTATACAAACACTGTCAAACTGTACGCACATTGAATTTGACCTCAACAACCAGTCCGGTTGGCCAGCCTCTTTGCGGGGCACCGATGTGTGTTGCCTGCTGAGGGGATCATGTGTACCTGCCGTATCGTACACAAAGTATGGACGGCTGAGGTATGGCCGGACGAATATCAAAACTTCTGACGGTCCTGATTATGGCATGTGTCACCAAGAGTCGTTATGGAATCTCGCCTAGTCTTGGTATCGCGACATGGCCACACTGCCTACGGGGAATTCCCCAGTGAAATAGGAAATTGATGTAAATGTACAGGTTGTAGTTACTGTACTGTTCTTACCAGCAATGGTTGCCGTGACGTTTCCCACACTGGTGATGCACGTGTACACACCACCATCATGATGGCTGAAGTTGTGGAAGCGAATCTGATGATCCTGGTAGAGGTTGCCGGGCAACCAGCCAATGATCTGTAGGCGAAGCAAGCGAAACAGGAAAACGAACGGCAAAGGGCATCGTTACTGTGGATTTGTGCAATGGACAAGTAAGGCACATTTGCAAGGCTGTACACCACAATTACGAGCACTGCTGTACTCATAAATGGGCTCGGGCATGTTAAAAAGACTTGTGATGATGTGGGCATGGTAGACATATTCATTGTAGATCTCTTGCATAGTACATGGACTGGGTCTAAACCGGCACATGTACGTATGATGGCTTTCTTGCATGGCATGCAGGCTTCTGTACAATAGAGTTCTTCTGATCCAAGGCAACAACAAAAAACTATCAACAGTGCACGCACGGGTACTATACGTTGCCATGTACCTGTTGGAGTACATCATTCATATTGTCTGTAGACTGACATGCTTCCACTGTGAGTGCAGCCATTGCCAGGTGCATCTAGACTATAGCGTGGCTGGCATACCTTTGCGATGTGGTAAGCCATCTACACTGCCATTTGTATCTACGAGTACTACACGTCTAGGTATGAACAATCAGTTATGTACAGTCGTGTAGTGTCTATTTCCTGCTCGTAGATATTCATAGACACACTAGGTCACTAAGGTGTAAGGTGGCTTGTGTCACGACTGCCGTCATTTCTGCACTATGTTATTCAGATCACTTCAGTCTTCTACACCATGCACGTAGGTGCAGCCATCATGGTATGATTTTCCAACAGGTTTTCGTTGCCGGAAATGCTCCTAGTCAATTGGCCATAGCTTGCTTGAATCACGTCGACTTGAGTCCCCCCAGTCCAGGCCGATCTCCCACTCCACTACTTGTAATTATGGTAAGGGTCGCTTGCGCACAAACAGTACCGAGGTGGTGCGTGAGGGGTGTTCAGGGTGGCAGCACTTCCCGTTTCACTTCCGTGGTGTCTGACACCGATACTGCGCGATAGGCGATACAGCTCCACATTGGTAGATCTACTGCGTCTGTAGACCTACAAGGCTGCATACTCCAAACAGCCCAAAGTGGCAAAGACGACCTAGGCCAACACACCTACTACTTCAGTGCTGCTACTCCTAGGCTATGGCTAGCATCCAGAGTCGCCATTGGTCACTTGGTGGAGCGTCAGATCCGGTACCGTAGCCATTCCATTTCGGCATAGTATACCTCCACCTCTTTCGACCGAGCTAAGTCGCCGAACGAAGCCATGAAGATCTCTCTACCACCTATAGTATACTAGCTTTGTCTGACTTCGAGAAGTCAGCCAATGCCAATCAATCCACGCCACTGAAGTTTCGTATCCTTACCTTCGCTCTGCTCTTGTTTCGGAATCTTCTTGCGTTTACCCACCAGCTGACTTCCACTTCGGGATCACGACCGGGCTCCAGGTGACAATCTAGGTCGAAGCTAGTGCCTGGCGTGCGGACCAGGGCCTCGCCTTTCTGGATCGGAATCAGCCTACCGCCGCGGACATTCTCCTTGACAAGCATGGAGATACTTTCCTGGGTTCCTTGCTTCAGGCCTTGCCCTGCGCGTTGTAAAAGAAACAGATAAACACAATAGTCAATATGTATTGCAAATACACACGGTGAATCATTGCGGTGGAGGGGAACGCACCGCTGGCGAAATCGTGCCTGCCCACACATTCCGACTCCGCAGATTATGACTTACTAATAGTAGTACTCAATAACTGACTTATTCAGTATGTGGCAAAGGAGCCTTCATCACAATACATCACTTCATACCGGAGTACTGATGATCCCCCCCCCCCCCCCTATCATCATCATGAGCTCTGATCTGAAGGGGTTGTTACTCGAAGTACATCCATGTCCCACACTGGGCCACAGTGTCTTTCCCCCGCGCAACATTATCAGGCCGCAGCATAAACATGTAGTTCTATCCCGGCTTTATGTGATCAATTCCATAGGACACTTCGCGGTCGCCTCTTGATAAGCCAGTCAGTCCTCTTGCTGCCATGTATTCTTTTTTTTTGCGTTTAGCAGCAACCGCGATAATTATGTGCATGCTGCCAGTGCCAGGGATTGCATGTTGGCCGGGGTTGCTGTAACACCGGATGACTCGGTTCTTCTTGAAACTCCCTTATTTTGATTTAGCCAGCTTACACTTGACGTGGGCAAGGCACTAGCAACGCATGGATATAGAAACACATTTGTTCATTTTGCTGACCCCGCTGCCTGGGGCAACAGACCAGTGTAGAGCAAATGGGCGACTTCACAAACTGTTGCTTCCGACCTGAAACCAGTGTCGGTGGCCGTTTTGACTTCGCAACAGCTGTCTGATGATCGCAGCATGCTAACGTTGCTCGCGGGAAAAGGGTCGGAACGCCTCTCTGGAGTACGGCTGTGGGGCGAAGGTAAACGCTCGTGTTTCATCATGCCATGACCGCCAACTAGACGTGTAGCAAGTTTCTAACCCTATCCGTTACCAGAGGGAATTGCATTTACATGTACATAATTATGATCCACCGACCCGTAACACGCCCTTCCGAGCTGGCAGGCAAACAAAAGCCTTCAGCCTAGATTGCTGTATGCCTTCACACCCGCTTGCCCTGGTCTCATTCCTTTGTGAATCTCAAATACAATCAATGTCAACGATATACAATCCTGTACTTGTACATGTACATGTACATGGCTTTTTTTAATTTTTATCATTATTACTAGTTGCAGGCCATAATTATTACAGTAAGGTGTGCAGTTTGTGGTGCTTGTGGTGAACCTGGACAGGCTCAACATCGTTGACAGCAAGTCACGTACGTGGCTTGACCCTCTAGCCTAGGTCTCTTGACTTCACCACTGTACTAACCGTTAACGCAGTGACCTTACTATGATGTGAGGCTACTGTGAAGTACCTATCAATGAAGCTGGATTTTCTCAATCTGTCTGATCAATTCTGAGCTGGTTTGCGGCAGGGACCAAGAGCCTACAGCCTCCTGTTGCAGAGAAGCACAGAGTACCTCGCAGCACGCCAAACTGAAGCAAGCAATTCTCATGATTACTTCGCACCAGTACTACGAGTACAAGGTACATTGACGATGACCGGATGTATCGATTGCAACCTTCCCCAGTAGATTAGTACTTCAAAGTATTTGCTGCTTGGTCCACTATTGAAGGTCTCAAGGTACGGCTGCTTCCGTCCTAGACATCTACGGAATTCGAAGGTATACTGTATTCTGTACTAGTAGGTCGCGGTTGCTTGGTACATGAAGTCATTCAGTGACGCATGATGCACGAATTCCATGGTGGCGTGTCTAACAGAAGTCTTTGAGCGTTTTTCCTTCTCGGTCGCGCACGAAGTGATTATATTTTATCCTCTTTATCTGTAGAACTAGGAATGGAGAGCGTCGATGTCTGCCAGCTGGCATGTCCTTCAAGTTCAACCTTACCCGCTGGTTGCTGTCCAATCGCCTCTTTCGTGTCTTCGCATACACCGTGAACCCGGGTGTCCACTGGTTGAACCCAGGTATACACTGGCGTTCGCCATCAAGTGACGTTCGCCCAGTGTGACGTCATGCGACAGGCGATTAGTTCAGGATGCGGGACCCTGGTCCACTAGTTATACAGTCATGTAACTCTGGTTCACCAATGAAACCATCTTCTGCTCCGATAAGGGACTAGCAAGGCGTGTTGGTGTGTAAGTCACTAATGAAAGTAATGCTATTGTTGTATTCCACAATAGCTACATGAAGCGTTATGCCAAGAAGAGGTTGGTGCGACTTCGGCGATACTTACATGTACATGTATGTATGTCCTTTCAAGGCCTGTCAAGGGCCAATGGGTACACGAGGCATGCCTTGAATCTTTGAGCCAACACGCTAGATACCGCTCAATATTACTAGTCATGACTGCCGATACGCTGCTCGAATGTCATCTGCTTCCGCGATTCGTGGTGGCGGAACTTCGACACACACGCATGCACCGATATCTGTGTATTTCGTGGTCCACACGACCTGTATGTGCCCACCAAGCATGATATCCATTACCTTACACCATGGGTACATGACATGTTATTCGCCATCCTGGCCTAAGGGATTCAAGTCAGTAGCATCTACTCACGGATCCTTGTAATCAGGAAGCAACTCCAACTCAGTCGTACTTTGGAAGGAGCCCTGTGGGTTTGGGAGCCTTTTAAGAAGCAAGGGCCGTTCACACCAAGTTCGCCTCAACTCATATCCTTGCACTCCTAAGATCTTCTCAATGTCACACCTCATGATCGCAGAGGGTGATGAGTGTAGGCTCATTCGGCCACTTGAGTTTACATAAAATCAAAGCTGATCGTGATCCGATTGCCTCCCACAGTGTACCAGTGTTAATGCGGTAACCCTACCTCTCCTCGTGTAACCTTCGACACCGATGGTTACAGCATAACATCAATCTGCGACCACTGCACATTTATTACATCTCCCACAGAACCTTACCCGACACCCCCTGTACACGCGAGAGGCAAATAGGGCATACAATATAGACCCTCGGAGCGCTATCGGCATTGCCGGGAACGGATCGGGGAACTCCTGAAAGGCTTGTAACAGGGAAGGTAGAGATAACAATAATCACAGCATTGTTTCTCTATCTTCTGCACCTACCCATGCACCGGACAAGACACCTTAACTTACTTACCTTCAACTGGCACAAACTGACCCATCCAGTGAAGTAGTAGTAATGGCAGCAACGCGACTTTCAGGACATTCGACATCGTCTCTCTTTGGGGAAGGGGGACCACTTTTCAAAACCCTCGCAGGCTAATCAACGTCGTGTGTCTCGCACACCTCTAGCCTGAAGGTCTTCTTCTCTCTGTATGGTGAACACAAGCGTGTCACAGTGCGCGCAGTGTTTCTCTGTTCCACAAGTATGACACACGACTTGACTGCTGCTCTCCAGCACGTACGGTTGAAATCAGAAAATTGAGACTTAACCCTGGAGGAATAAATTCCACGAAGCTTCGGGCCAAAACGGTTGCAGCAACCTGCGGATATGCAGCCGAGGCCTGAGGTGCTTGGCAGACAACGAACCAGCCAAGATACACAGATGTGCCTTGGGGCAACGAAAGATCAACTCTGGCAAGGAAGGGTCGGTGACTCTTCATTTTCATTGCTGGCGCTGCCCCCACTCAGCTACCGGGTATACCATTATCCACTATCCATTACCCCGATCAAGCCGAGGTGAGCACAGCGGCAACACGATGTGTCGTGCGATACGACACGGGTATGGTCATTTCCCAAGTACGTACATGTATATGTGCCTCACACCAAGAGTCGACGCTCTACTCTCCGTCTCTCTCTCTCTCTCCCTTTCTCTCGGCGATCCGTCGGCAAGCTGCGGACAGGTCGGAAGCAATGCATCACACACGGCCGTGCGTGCAGCGAGCGAGCGCCGGATGAGCGCGCATGTCGCGACGGTAGAACACAGTGGCATGTAGGCCGGCGGCGATACAGATCAGCTGTGTTTCCCAGTGTGTTCACGTGAACACCTCTCACTACCGACCAGTACCAGTTTGTTGTGTACTACTGTAAATAATTGGCCAGCAGTGTATTCAACTTGAAGTGCTATCAACAGTTGAACACAAAATATCATCCACTTTAGCTTCCAAAAACCTTCAAGACTGACATACATGTACATGTAGGTTGATTTCAGAGTCGCTACACATGTACACTGTACATGTCATTATTGTAAATAATTGCCGCATCACGGTGGGGCACCTGTGTGGATGTGTCACGTGATAATGAACACAGCAGCCGTGACCGTATCCAGTGTTGTGACACCGTGTTGCACATGAAAATGGCAAAATAGTTGTTCACCAATGGCAATGCAGTTATCAGTCCTGCTCGCATCGCACCATCATTGCATCACGCTGCGTACATTTAATTGTCTTGGTCTTTGTGACTTTCAATTCAATCTCGACTTTTTAGATTCTCGATAGTGCTAGTGTGTGGAGGGCACGCTGTATTATAATTGACCAGGATCAATGCATCAACAGCAGAGTACAGCCATACTGTACATGTACAGGTAGGTACATGTTTGCTGTACAGTGTCCTGTTGGAACAGAGACTCGTCTATCTACATTCTACGTCCCAGTCTGGCGCGCATGTGCGTGCGTATTGAAAGTGAAAGTGTGACCGCACGGCTCGTGTACCCACATACCCCCCCCCCCCCCCCCAACCCCATTCATCCTCACACCCGCGCACGCACATGCACGCACACGTTTGCCAGGAAAGGGAGGCACGATTGGGATTCATGTACATCTAATCACAGTCAACACTACTGCTGAGTACTAGTAGCCGGAACACACGATCGACTGGTCAACTGTGAAATGCTGTGTACATGGATGTCGGTGAACCGTGTGTCATTCACTTCAGGGTCTTCTCTATAATTCGTCTCTCTCCTAGAGCTCGTCATCAAGCACCAAGAACCCAAAAAACAGTAGCCATCGGCTGGCTGTTTGGCTGACATGTCCCCCCAGAGAGACAGCGTTGTATCCATCCAAAACCCTGGTCTACATAGCACATTGCCCTAC